AGTATTTTGGTCTTCTTTTGATTTATTCTCATTCCTGCCATGTCACCAAAAAAATTTAACATTGCCATCAAATCTTCTATTGAATACAGTGGATCTTCCAATATGATGACTAAATCATCCGCAAAAGTTTGGAGCTTATAGACTTGTCCTTTTACTTTTAATCCTTTCACTTCTTTTTTATCTCTAATTTGGTCATTTAATATTTCTAGAGTCAAAATAAGTAGGAGTGGGGACAGAGGACACCCCTGTCTAGTGCCTTTCTGTATTTGAATTTCTTTTGACAACTCGCCATTTATTCTTACTTTTGCCTTTTGTTCAGTATATATTGCTTTAATTAGTTTCATAAATCTTTCTCCAACTTGCAGTGTTTCCAATGTATGTAACAAAAAGTTCCAATCAAGATTATCAAAGGCTTTCTCTGCATCCAAGAACATCATGGCCATCTGTTTCTCTGGGTGTGCTTCATAATACTCCAAGGAATTTAAGACTATCCTTATATTATTCTTCATCTGTCTTTTAGGAAGGAACCCAGACTGATCTTGGTGTATCAGGTGGATTAAGGTTCTTTTCATTCTAGTTGCCAGAATAGTCGTATATATTTTGTAGTCCACATTCAACAATGAAATCGGCCTATAATTTTGTATTTCTTTACCTTCCGTGTTTTCTTTATGTATAAGAGAGATTGTCGCTTCAGTCCATTTTGCTGGTATTTTCCCCTCTTCTTCGACATATTCTAGCAGCTTTTTAAATGGATGAAGTAGTACTTCTTCCAGGTCTTTGTAATATTCCGCTGGTAGCCCATCCGGGCCTGGTGCTTTCCCCTGGTGCTTGTTTTTTCTGATTTTGTGTCTAGTTCTCTATTGAAGACGGCATTAAAATCTCCAATTTCATTTATTTATTTAGATAACCTGCTGGAAGAAGAAGTTAGGCTTCCGGAATGGAAACTGCCATTCTGCCAGGCTAGGCTGCTCTCTCTGACTCTGAATGCACTGAACAGCTAATCGGCACACTCATAGGCAGAGAGAGCCTGCCGGACCAGTTCTGGTCATCTAGCCTGCTCTCTCTGGCTCTGTGTGCACCAAACAGCTGATCGGCATGCCCAGAGGCAGAGAGAGCCTGCCAGAACTGTTCTGGCCAGCTAGTCTGCTCTCTCTGACTCTACGCGTGCAGATCAGCTGATCGGAGCATACAGAGTCAGACAGAGAGCAGACTTGCTGGCTGGGATTGTGGTTTCTGTTCTGGCAGCCCAGCTTCTGTTCTGGCAGCTCAGTGATGTTAGTGGCAGCAGCAGGACAAGGTAGGGAGGCGATGGGAGCAGTGGGAAGGGAATGGGCACAGACTGTGGGGTGCAGAGAGAGCAAACTAGGCTGGCAGAATAGCTGTTCTGGCAGCCTAGCTTGCTATACAAGCCCAACAAAGGTACAAATAAAAATGATAAATATTAATCACTTTGTATTTGTCGAGGCTTCTGGAATTGATGAATACAAAGTGATGAATATTACATGAATCAGCGATCTCTGATGAATATTGCAATTTGTTTTTTATTCATTCTCATGTCTACTCAAGATCCTAGTGGATCCTCACACACTGTATGTTTCAATGCAGTTGTTGAACATACACAACCCTGTGGTTGACAGACTCTTCTTATTTACTGTCTATGTTACTGACAAGTAGGTAGGAATGGATTCACCTAAATTTGTTCAATGTCAATTATGTGTGTAACCAATCTGTTCCATACTGCTTGCACATGACTGTGTTTTTGTTGTTTTAAATTCATACAACATTCTTCTTTTTAAAATGTACTTAGAAGTAATTTGAGAGCCTAATTATTTTTTTCACACACACACCCTTCCAAGTTTTGATCTGCTTGGATAGCTAGAAAGTGCACCACTAGTTCAGATGCTGAAAATTAGGTTCTTCCAAGGGACTTTTTTTATTCCTCTTTCAATACATGTGGCACCTGCGGCACTGTCTATGTGCTTCAAGCACTTTTATTGTGCAGAAAGGGAAGCAGGATGGATCACTTTGTGGAATTTAATAAGTCTGAAGGTTCCAAAGTGGACCATTTTCCAGTCCACAAAGTGAATAGATCAGCTTTCTTTGGAATGTGGACTCAATGAATTCTTATATGTAACTGCATTTCTGTAGGTCTAGCACAGATAATTGGTATAGATATATTTACTGCCTGTTATTCTAAGCACACTTAAACTGGAACACCACATTAAATGGAATGCTTAGTTTATCTACCATCTTTACCCTTAATAATGTCTAAGAAATTAAAATACATGGCATGATGTCATTGTGCTCTGGATTTCTGTGCCCTGAAAAGAGCTGCCAATCAATTAAATCTGAAGGGTTGTATCTTCCCATATGAGCCTTCCTGGCTCCTAAGATCTTCAGAAGAGGCCCTTCTCTTGGTCCCACCACCCTCACAGGCACATTTGATGGGGACATGAGAGAGGTCCTTTTATGTGACCACTATATGTTTAGGTTTTTTTAACCTTATTTAATGACTGGAATCCTGTTGCTTGGTATAGCAAGTCACACTAGAGTAGGTCCACTGAATCAGCAGAATGAACTGGGGATGTCCACCTTAGCCTTGTTCTGGGACAGGATTAATTTCATTGTGCTCATTATAATCCATTGTGTCTCTTTTACTTCCCAGCACAAATGGATCCACGTGGCCTGTCTCCCAGACAAATTAAAAGTGACAGTGATGACGATGACCTGCCAAATGTGACCTTGGATAGTGTTAATGAAACTGGATCTACAGCCCTCTCTATAGCCAGAGCTGTTCAAGAGTAAGTATCAAGTTTTTAGGGTGATGCCAAAGCGGATGGTGCCTAATGGAAACACTTGGTCATATGACATTCTCTAGATCTCCTGCAATGGAACCAATGTAGATATAAGTCCACTTCTGTTGGTTAGCTTTACCTGCAGGAGCAGATTGTGCCCTGTGTCTGCAGTTATAGAAGAATACAGGACCATGTGCACAAAGAGACTTCAGCCTCGCATTGGAAACTGACTTGCCTAATTCCGTGTAAAATTGAAATAAAATTGTTTTGCGCACAAATTTTCTTTTAAGAATCTAATCCATAGTCTGGGCCAGTACAGATACATTGATCTGTTTTCTGCCTAGACATATTTTAAACTTTTCCTCAGAAAGGCATGCTGAGAAATGTGAGAAATGTTCTGAGAGTTTTTCTTGGTTTTTTATTATTATTGACCAATTGTCCCTCAGAGCACCAACAAACACCTTTTGAGTAAGGGGTGTCTACTTCTTTTGGTGTTTAATTTAATTTAGTTTAGTTTAGTTTAGTTTAGTTTAGTTTAGTTTAGTTTCTTTACATGATAAGGAACGTATCTGTTTTAGGATTTGTGGACATGTGTTTCTTCATACTTGGTGGAGGAAGTGGATTCCAATCAATGTGCATATCTGTGTTCTGAGGACAGGTTGCATCAGTAATTAATAGGTGCAACAAAAGAATGTCATCCTCATGGCACAATATCATAGTTCCCATTTGGGAAGTAGTATAAATTATAGATCCGATACATCTATGTACCCATCAGCATCCACCTTATGTGACCGAGGAGGCACCACTTCACCCACATACAACTAACAATTTGAGGTATGAGACACGTTGGATATTTAAAGAATATGGGCCTCTCTTGAGAATTTTTAGTAAAAAATGTTGCTCTATTATAGGGGTCAGGTAACTTCTTTTACTTTTTACCCTCCCCCCAAAAAATTATATATGCTGACATTGGGCACTTGATTTGAAAGGAAGGAAATCATACATTATTTGAATTCAAAATATTGAATCTACACAGGCTGTGTACTGAACTAGCAGGATATATTGTCAATATCAATGGCTGTCAGGCTATGTACCAAACTAGCAGAATGCACCAAATTTAATACAGATGTGCACTATTTTTGCTGGAACACATTGCACTCCAGCCATGGGGTAGTATAGGAAGTAGTGAGGTGTCCAACGTACCTAGCAAGTTGCATTAAATTTTTGCTAGCTCACATAGGGTTTAATCTGGCTGCCAGGGTGGTGCTAGCAATGACATGCTTGCTAGAGACAGCCAACACAGAGTTGGGGGGGTGCTTTTCCGACCACTTTAATCATTCTGTGTGTGGTGTGTAAAAAGGAACAAACCAGGCTAAAGGTCATGTCACCCACCCTGGTGCCACAGCCCAATATCAAAGGACCAGTACACTATTTTTTTTATCATCATCCTCAGCAGTGGCCAGAGGATTGGAAAAAATCAGTCTACATCCCAATCCCAAAGAAGGGCAGTGCCAAAGAATGCTCCAACTACTGTACTGAAATTGCACTCATTTCACACGCTAGCAAGGTTATGCTCAAAATCCTCCAAGGCAGGCTTCAGCAGTATGTGGACCAAGAACTTCCAGAAGTGCAAGCTGGATTTCGAAGGGGCAGAGGAACTAGAGACCAAATTGCTAACATGCGCTGGATTATGGAGAAAACCAGAGAGTTCCAGAAAAACATCTACTTCTGCTTCATTGACTACGCAAAAGCATGGCAGAAAGTGAGGAGGAATTAAAGAACCTCTTAATGAGGGTAAAAGAGAAGAACGCAAAAAATGGTCTGAAGCATAAATTAAAAAAAAAACCAAGATCATGGCCACCGGCTCCATCACCTCCTGGCAAATAGAAGGGGAAGATATGGAGGCAGTGACAGATTTTACTTTCTTGGGCTCAGTGATCACTGTAGATGGTGACAGCAGACACGAAATTCAAAGACACCTGCTTTTAGGGAGAAAAGTGATGACAAACCTAGACAGCATCTTACAAAGCCACCCTTTTCCCCCCGCCTTAATTCAAGCCTTCTGTTTTGTTTGCCTTTTCCTTTTTTCATAGTTTTGAGTCAGTCTCTCTCTCACACACACACCCAAAAACACACACAAACCCTTCCTCCCTCAATTTTCAGCAATTAGTTGCTTCAATTCAGTATTTCCATTTCCTCTCATTAATTTAAACAAGCTCGATGAAGCCACCATTTTTCCCACCTTAATTCAAGCCTTCTGTTTTGCTTGCCTGTTTCTTTTTTTCAGTTTTGAATCAGTCTCTCTCTCTCTCTTTCATACACACATCCACCCACCACCCAACCTCCATCCATCAATTTTCTACATACATTTAAACAAGCTTGATGAAGCCGTCGGTCTCTTGCACCTTCCTTCCCTTGTTAACTGGAGCCCTTCCCTCCTGCTTGCTTGCAGTCATCTCCGGTGGAAGCAGTCATTCACAAGCCCTGGATTGATTGACTGCCCAGGGCTTTTCTACAGCTGTAACCAATCAAGCAGGCTTATCTTCGTTCTCTGAAAGAACAGATTTACAAGTGCCCTGCCGCAAACAAGGAAGTAACAGGGAGAGGTGGCTTACAATTTGAGGTTTGGCTGCAGGGGATGGGGATGGGGGTATGGGCTCATTACCCCCAGGATTTTCACTTTTATCCCATTTGAAGTAATTCACCCCTGTTTCCCGACCACTGCTCTATTATGAATCTCTCTAGCTAAGAAACTAAGACTACCATCTACCAGAAACTGTACCTTCTGAGTAGTGATGTCTGCCTTCTGGAGTTCTTCTGAGCAGAGCCCACTGTGGCTCTTTCAGAAGAGTAGTTATAATGTCTTCTGTCTCAATAAGAATTTTGCCTTTGGGGGGTTTATATTTCTCCTGGTAGTATATTGTAATTTGCTCTTGATAGTTTTTTCTCTTTTTTGTATGTTCTTTATTATACTTCATTGTTTTCATTTTAAGTTACTGTTCAGTTGCTTTGAGAGACCAAGTATATGCCAATAAATGAAAATTGGGGGACTTGTCATGGAATCTTATATGTGTGATTGTCTTTGTCACTTGTGTGCAGTAGACTCGTTTACCAATGAGAAGAATCATTGGTTACTGTGTGTAAGCTGCCACAGAACAACTGAATGATAGGATCAGAAGAAGGTGAAAGACTAGTCAGAACAAACCAACCGCAGATCAACAGTGGCCGAGTTCAGACATTATGATAAGCTAGAGTTCTAGGGAATACCTGGCTGGTTAGTGGCCAGCAGCATGCCAGTACATCATGCCCAACCACTCCTGCTTGCTACAGGAGCAGCTAAAAAATGACAATTTTCTGGCAATGGTTTCTGGTGTCTGAACCCAACATAAATTGCCACTCTTGCTAGTTTAGAATGTTGGCTCCTGCTGAGTTCAGCTGTCACTCTAAACAAAGCAAGTGTGAAAGGGCTGTGGTTTCATTGCCAACCCCAATCCTGAATAAATAAGATGCTACCTTATCTTGGCTAATTTTGGAAGCCAACCAGAGTCACTCCTGGTTAGTAGACTGGAGACCACCGGGGCTATAACAAGGATCTCGAAGTTCAGGCTAGCAAACCCTGGGGAGTCACTGCCAATCTGAGACAACAGTACTGGCATTGATAGACCAACCCCCCAACTCAGTGTGATACCATTTTCTGTGCTTCTAACTTGGTTTTGCCATTCCTGCTGCAAGCAGGAATGGTCAATCACCATGCACTAGCATGCTGGTATATCCACACATGCCATTGCATCTTAATGTGCCCATTGTTTCTTTCCTCCCCACTGACTTCATGAAAATAATAAGTTAATGCAGAGTTTTTGATCTAAAACTATGACGGAATTGAGAGAGAGAGCAAGAGAGAGGATCCTTATCTTCCTTTGTGTTGAAAGTGACTGTTGCAGATTAAAGTGACATTGGCTGTTCTTCTTCTCCTGGTGCCAGGTCAGCTTGTTATGTTGATGCAATACAATGGGTTGTGACACTATTTTGCAACCCAATAGTCAGCAACACACTTCTCCAGTACCTTTCTTTCCTTAGCTGAGCTGATTTTTACATACTAATCTTGCAGTGTTTTTATACTGCTGCCATCTCTGAAGGCAAAACGAGGTCCATTTGAGGTTGTTCAGAACCTGACATAATATTTTATCAGTGTTGAAATCCTGTACGACCTGGAGAAAATTCAGGTCAGCCACCAAGAAGGCTGTACATGTGCATACAAAAAGAAAAAGTCTAAATAAAAGCATACAACGTTTGTGAAAAATCAAATGAGATCTATGTTATATTTTATAATATTCTTTTCCAATGAGTTTTCATTTTTAACAGATAAACATTCCTTAAATCATTCTACAGATGCCCTTCTAGTTTCTCCATGACTGTTAATACTGGGATCTGTTGAATTACTTTTTCATGAAATGTCTAGAGCCAATTTGGACATAGCAATGCAAATGCAATATATTCTTGCTTCCAGAGCAGTGATTTTATGCACGGTGAAGCACTGTTGCTGAACTACTGCTGACCTGCTCTAACATAGCTTTTGCTTTTCTTATTCCTAGTTTAATGCACTGATAAGATACATTAAGATGCTGATAGCAAATATTCATCAGTGAGCAAAAGAGGGAAAACATGCCACTAACAAGAAGTCATGATAATCCCAGGCTGGCTGAAAGCTTTTATTTCCTCTTGCCTTAGGTTAGGCTGTCCCCATGAGAACTCAGCATAAGTATCAGAAAGTGAGTGCCATTGCACCATGGGGGGGGGGGACAGCTGAGGACAAACAAGTAAGGAACAGATCAGCAGACCTGACTGAACTAGGAGTGGAGTGGTGACGGAAGAGCAAGGAGGTTCTGCCTCCACAGAGCTCTAAACAGGAATTATTGACCAGGTTGCCTTCAGCCTTCTCCTGCTTCTGTTTATAAGCCCCTACTGGAAGCTTGGAGGGGAAAAAAGAATTTTAAGTGAAGTGGTCT